GTCTTTCCATTCTTCATTTGTCTGACGGCTGCCGTTATTTCTTCTGGTAGGATTTCGGGACCTGAATTTTCTTCAACGGTGGGCTCTTGTACTGTTCTGAGGTCATGGAAAAGTTTCCCCAAGTATTCTTACCATACTTTTTTTTGTCTTCTTTGGTTATGGCAAGATTGCCTTCATTATCTGTTATTTTTCCGCTGTTGCGTTTTTGAAACTTTCCAGCTATTTCCTTCACCTTTCGATAAACATTGAAGTTATCGTACCGTAAAACGGGGTTACTTAATCCACTTTTGAAATTCAAACACCTTTCAAATCTAGACCAATCACTTTAGGGATTTAAAACTTGGTAAAAAAGTGGGTCTGTATCTAAACTTATTGTTTAATACCAAAAAAAGAGTTAAAAAAATTTTTTACCTGTCAAAAAAATTTAAAACATGGTGGCTTAAGTTTCCCCTTAGAACGGGGTATGAAAAACCAGGTATGATAGATAAATGTGTGGCGTAAGTTAAACACTCCTGGGGTAACTAAATCCGTACACAGGGCTAAAATAAACAATACTTATGTTTAAAAAAATGAATTTAATTGGAAAAAACTTTATTTACTAACATTTTTATATGTTTTAAGGTTTTTGAAGATTAAATAATCAATTTAACTCATACAAAAAAGTGTAGTGCCCACGGTTTACATTTGTAGGGTGAACAAATTTAACAATTTGTGATATATTTACATCCATTTCATCAGCATTGTAAGGAAATACAAAAACAGTCCCAGCAGTTTTCGTACTTTTTCTTAAGAAACTAACTGACACTTCATTTGTTTCTGGTGATGTATTTAACACTTTTGCACAAAACTGCTTTACAGCTTCTTTTTTGGTTCCCTCATCAAATAGCAGTTCAACAATTACAAATATAGCTGATTTGCCAGTAATCTCCTCCCATTTCACTGTGGTCCTCGTGGCCTTCTTATAGACGTTCTTAGGTTCGGGTTCCTCAAAATTGTCATCAGTGAAGTCACTTAAAACAAGTTCAGCATCTGAATCTTGTAGTGAGAATACTTCATCATTGTCACTAGAATCAGAACTGTCCTTTCTGGCTCTTTTTGAAACACGGGTTTTCTCTTGAGCTTGCTTTGAAGTACTTGGCTGTTGCTCTGCAGGGTTATCAATAGAGTCCTTCATATCATCCGGCTGTACACCTACACCAGGTGGTACATTTAATTTTTTTTTCTTTCTTTAGCTGATTGTGTAGTATCTTCAATCTGTTTTTTTCAAGGAAGGATTGTAAAGTTGCAGCCCAAGTGTTTCCATAGTCATTTAGGGTTTCTCTTTCGTTCTCCTTAGATCTACTAGGAAGCCTCTTAAGTACTTGCTCCCTGTCAAGAGGTGAAATTCCTGAACCTTTAAAACCACTTATCAAGTTTTTTGCTATGTTTTCTTCACCCATGTCATCAATACACTTCTTCAATAGTCTTGGGAATGTATCCTTAGGTATTGTACCACGATTCTTCTCTTTCCAGTCACTTAATGTTTGGCGCCACTTTATTTTCAATGGCCTAAAAAAAGATACATCAAGAGGCTGAGTAAAATGGGTACTGTTCGCTGGCAGAAGCACAAACTTGATGTTCTTCATCTTGCATTCATTAATAATATCTAGTGAGATGTGGCTTGCTAGGTTGTCCCCTATTATTACCTTAACAGCATCTTTGTCAAACTTCTTGAAGTATGGAATAACTATTTTTCTGAACCAGTCTTCAAAAATTTCTAGCGTGAACCATCCACTCTTTGACCTATTATAAACTCCTCCCTTAGGACCATTCTCAGTCCATGAGTCGTAAAGATTTAGTGCCTTGTACGTTATGTATGCTGCCGTCCTAACATGAAACGTCCTATCTGCAAAATTTGGAAAAATGACTTTATTGGCTCACGTCATGCGTAAACATATTATCTATGTATGTACAAAATGAAATTGTCCTATAAGCGTCTTAAGTGCCTTATTATATACCTAAATGATTTGTCCTAACTAACTAAAAAGCCATGTTCACTAACATAAATTGTCCTATCTCACATATACTGCGAAAAATTGTCCGTTTTAACTTTAAAAATGCAGTTAGGACTATTTAAGCTAGTATTTTATACTGAGCTGCATCAGTTAGGACAATTTTGCGTACTATGATATAAGCATATTTGTAAGATAACTTCAAATAATTAATTATAAAAGGTATTTATTATTGTCAGACATTTGGAGTATTCTCATGCTTTTTGGCATTTTAATAACTGATTGTAATTATTGTTTGTAGTGGTAGCAAAAAATATAGACGCACATGCGTCTATATTTTTTGGTAGTAGCATGTCTTGGCCGGAACATCGATAGATGTAAACGTATGGTATTTAGCCAACAGTGAGAATGATCCAGATTATGCACCTGGGCCGTCCAATGAATTATTCTACTAGTAGAGTACTCTCTAGTAGTAGAGAGTACTCTGAATACTACTCTATTTGTTGTCATTCGGTTTGTATAACCGTTCCATTCTACTACATTCTGTTCCATTTCTTACCTTCTATATGTCATTATTGGTATGATGAATGTTTTGTAAATTCTGCCATTCCTTCCTTTTCCGATATTTTTATTTCTTCATATTGTTTCATTCAGGCAGCAAGCGGCACTGATGCTCTATTCACTTGATCTTCTACTTCAGTTTCGAGCCTGCCGTAACTAGATAATGTGATGCCTAGATATTTAAACTCCATCACTTGTTCTATTACCTGACCTTCCAGCTCCAATTTATATCTTAGTAAATTTGCTGTTGTAAGCAAGCATTTTTTCTTTTTTAAGGAAATTAATATTTTTCGGGCGGTTATATTAAATTGGTGCAGCATACGTTGTAAATCGTCTTAACTTGAGAGCGTAGTATTGCGTCGTCTGCATAGTAGATTAATTTAAGTTGTTTTTCTCCAATTTCGTATCCTTTTTTAGTTCTTACTTTTTTTATTATTTCATCCATAATCAGCTTGAATAATAGAGGAGTCAGGTAATCTCCCTGTCTTATTCCATTGCCAGCTTCAATAGTGTCGGTTAGTTATTCTACTTTTATTGTGTTTTTTGGTAGATATTTTCGATCGTTTTGTGTACAGTAAGTGGATAATGTCTTTTAATTTAACCCGGTCAAATGCCTTCTTAAGGTCCACGAAACATACATAGATATGCTGGTTTGTTATATTCTAATGGTTTCTCTTGTACTTGCCTCACTACAAATATAGCGTCGGTGCATGATCTTCCCGACCTAAAACCTTGTTGTTCTTCTGCTAGTGTTATAATTTCATTCAGTTTATTTGTTATCACTTTGGTTGTTAATTTTAGTGTTGGGTTTAATAAATTAATTCCTCTGTAATTCTACGGGTCCGATTTGTCTTCCTTTTTGAAGGGAGGTATTAGGATGCTTGATATCCATTCTTTTTCTGTTTTTTTTTCTATTATTTTATAAAACTTAGTATAATAAAATTAAAAAAGTTCAGTTAATTAGAATTTCAGTTTCACTTAGGTCAGTTTCAGTTTCATTTAGGTCAGTTTCAGTTTCATTTAGGTCAATTTCAGTAAGTAATACAAAAAAAACGTGCTTCATATACACTAAGCTAAATTGTCCTAAGTGACAATATAATCAAAAATCGACTAATCTGAAAAGAATAAAACAAAATGATGACTAGTAATTAAATTGTATTCTCCGACATAATATATAAAATAAAACATAAAGACTTTCTTAAATTACCAAGCGTTATGCAATGAAAAGAAACAAAAACTTGATTTTCTCAAAACCTAAATTTTGCAGATAGGACCTTTCATGTTAGGACGGCAGTATGGTGGAAGTAATTTTCCATCTGCACTCCCTGAAAACATGACAGATGTACTTGCCTTGGAAGAATCAACGATTCGCTCAGGATGACGTGTACCTCTTCTTACTATAACTTTCTTTCTACCCGATCATCAGTTATATTCGTCTCGTCATAGTTAACTATCATACTTGGTTCAACTCCTTCAAGTGATGTTGTGAGTTCGTCAAAATAATTGTTGAGAATTGTCTCATTGACAGCAGCTCTACTTCTTTTTACATTTTGACAAAGCCTATTAGAAAGTTCTTTGTCATGTCTTTTCATAAATGAATCCACAAAGTCAATACCAGGCATATTGTGTTTAAGCCTTTTTTCTGTTCGGCCACGGCGATCTAGACATCCTTTCACAATCAGTCGAATATCAAAGGTTGTTAGCGGGAATCCCAGTTTTCCAGCCAATGTTACACATTCTACCAACTGGTTTTCTTCAACAGGACTTAAAATACAAGGTCTTCCTACCTTATTGCGTTTTCCTTTCACTGCTGCTGTAAGAGCACATCGTGAAATTCCATACTGTTCAGCAACTTTCCTCAAAGAAAGGCCATCATACTTCACTACTTTTACCGCTGAAGCGAGCTTTTCATCCGAATAGTCCTTATACTTTCGAGCCCCAAGGGGCTGGTAATAAGTTCGTGGCATAGGTATTGTGGTCTGAAACAAAGAAAATTGGTGTTTTTATTTAAAAACTTTATATTTTTACTTTCATGTAGTATGTTTTTCATTACGGGGTAACAAAAGCAACTGGCTTTTGTTCCCCGTAGTCAACACAGCTGTAAAAGAACAACAAACAAAAAACAACTAACCTTCAATATGGAGATTTAATTAAAGCATGGTCTACAATGATAACTAAGGTTATATTTTAAGATAACTATTAAGCTTGAAAGCAAACGGACTGGGCTGGACGGAAAAAGTTTAAACAGCTATGAAATTTCAATACAAATTACCTCTAAATAATAATAAATTGCTAGGCTTATCTTTTAGTGTGAATAAATGTTGTATTCCAACAGCTTAAATGGCTTTTGTTACCCTGTAGGCTTAAGTAACCTCGTTTTACGGTATCGACTCTGATACTCTTCTATTTCTTGACATTGTTCTGTTTTTTGTTTCTCTTTAGCTTCTCTTATTTTTCTTCTGACAATAGTATGTATTCTCTTATATTCTTGGAGATTTTCTTTGTTTTTTTCCTCTGATCCATAAGCTCAAGTATTTCATCGGTCATCCACGATTTGCGTTTCTCTGTGTCTTTCTTCAGGTGTTGTTCTTTTATTTCTCTCACTGTATCTTGTATGATGGTCAGACTTTCCTCTATAGTTTCTGCATTTTTGCATGTTAGCACCCTTGTATTGAGGTTTCCACTCACCTTCAGTCGAACATTGGGATTTTTCAGTTTTCTAAAATCATACTTCTTCATCGACTTACTTGTAACCTTCTTCATTCTGACTTTGAAATTACCTACAACTGATACATGATCAGAATTTATGTCTGCCCCTGGGCATGTTTTGACAGATGTACAGCTGTTCCTATACCTCTTATTTACTAGCATGTAATCAATCTGATTTCTTACAATCTTTCCCACAATATCTTGTGGAGATTTCCAGGTGTACAGTTTTCTTGGGTGTAGCTTAAACCAGGTATTGAATTGGTTTCTGATAATATAATTTCTTTTTTTAATTCTATCTATCTATATAAGGAATTTTTGCAGCTGTCGCCGCCTTTCTTCTTTCAGCCAACCTCTCCTGTCCTTTCTGTTCTGCCATTCTCCATCTCTAAGGTCTCGTCTTTCTATGGCCTCGTCCACTTCATCCCTCCATGATCTTCGGGGTCTACCTCTTTTCCTCCTTCCTATTGGGCTCCAATCCGAAATCTTTGCTATCCATCTTGTATAATCTGTTCTTCTCACATGTCCATACCAAATTAAATGTTTTTCTTCGATGTATGTCTTGTTCTACTGCCATTCTTGGTTTTATCTCCTCATTTCTGATGCGATCTATTTTTGTCACTCTGCAGCTTCTTCTCATGAACTTCATTTCAGTTGCTGTAATTTTGGACCTGTTTCGTTTATTTATTACCCAATTCTCTGCTCCATCGGTCATTACACTGCGTAGCAAGGTGTTATAAATTCTCTTCTTTGTATTTCTGGTAATCTGTCTATCCCACAGTACCCCGTTCATTTGTTTAATACATGTTTTTTGTCTGTGCTAATCTGCTGGTTGTCTCTTGCTCGTTGGTTCCATTTTTTGAGAGTATGAATCCTAAATATTTGAATTTTTTAGTGCCGTTAATTTCCCTATCATCGTCCATTTCCAAGTTTCTCACTGGTTCTTGCTCTGTTGTTAAATATTCGGTCTTTTATAGGTTTATTTCCAGTCCATTTTTTGTGTATTCCTTTTCTTTTTGAAGCATATAGCACAGATCTTCTTCATCTTGAGCTGTTACCACTTGGTCATCTGCAAAGCTTAATGTATACAAGAAGTTGTCCCGGATTGGTATTCCCATTTCTTCACATTTCCTTTTCCATGGTTTTAATATTTCTAGGCTGCCAGGGAAAAAGAGTATAAGTCAAAAATCTTAAGTTTACAGGAATAGCATTTTATTATTTGAAAAACGTATCTAAAAAAATTTTAAACTAAATATCTACTCAAAAAAAACGTATAGCATGTTACCTAAATGTAAGTTTAAAACAAAGTAATATCTAAGCTACTTTAGAAAAAATTAACGACTTATATTATATTGACCACTAAACTAAATTAACATATAATATTTGGACCTCTATCAGGTAAACAGAAAAACATTAAAGTAATTTAAAAACTTAAATAAAAAAACACATTAAGTACTTTCGTCACAATTTTCCGAACCATCTCCATCAGGAAAAGTATCAGGCATGTCACTTGTCTTGAGATTTCTATAAAAATCATAAAATGTAGGAGTAATTAGGGGTAAGAGATCCAATATATCTTTTTTCTTTTCTTTTGAAATGGGTAACGTAGAGGTATAACATCTGGTTGGATTTAGCTGAGCATTTGGATGTCCCCTCCGGATAAGACTTAAACACTTAAAAGGAACATCATGTCTTAAACTTGTTTAAAATAAACATTTCCATATTCGCGAGTATATCGAAACCACTTGACTGAGTGCCAATTAAATAAATTTCCTTCGTTGTCTTTTTTCCTAAGCTGCAGGTCCGATTTAAGAAGATCGGCAAAATTTAAGAAACCTGAATGGGTCAATTCTACCACGCTAAATTTCTTCTTTTTTCCCACAGAACGAACAAGTTGGTACCAATCATATGGATGAGAAATAGGAATTTGGAATTTCTTTTTTTGCTTTTCAATCAGACCGTGATCGACATCACATTCCATGTATTGTTCTGAAGCTATTTTCTTGTGGCATTGTAAATTAATTACTATTTATAACTGGGAATAAGCCACATTAAAGATAAAAATACATTTATTGACGTTTCAATTTCCAATTCGGAAATCGTTCTCAAAATACAAATAGTAAATTAAACAAATTTTGTTTTTTGTTACATAGTGAAAAAATTCTTCTGATAATTTAATTTTATCTGACTCATTTATATTGACAATTCAGACATACATTATGCATTTTAAAGTAGACGACTTTAAAATGATATTGCCAATATTGTTGAGTTGCGCTCCTGGGACGACTTTACTTATAAGATAGTTCATTCGATTACATGAAATCAACTTTAACTTGAGAATATCCGTCAGAAAAAATCATAGCATGTAATTCGTCTTTAAAAAGACAAACACATGACATGATGACAGTAAAATTCTCCTGTTAGTGATTCCATAGTAAATTATGAGGGAAAAACCAGGAAAAAAACCTCATAATACTATCCCGACATTGTAAGTATTTGTTCGTGAATTTAGTTTACCTTCAACAAACATCAAAATTCTGATTTTATGTTACGTTATTTAAAAAACATAAATGATGTATCCTCTATATGTTACTGACTTACTAATACTGGTATTTTCTTATTAATAACTTCCTCTTTCAATATTGGTAACCAGATCCTACTACATTCTGCCGAGGAATTGGCGACACAATTGGCCTCATTTAGCATAATTAGAGCCGCTTCTTTGATTTTTCTTTTTTTTACCATCCGTTTCTTTTAGGACTATGTTTGAATTATTCCATTGAACTCTATGTTCATTATCCCATGCGTGTTTACATATTTGAGATCTATCAAATTCTCTATTTTTAATATAAGATTGATGTTCACTTATTCTAACATTTAATGGCCTGATGATTCACCTAAATAAAACTGATCGCATTCACAAGGTATTTTATAAATGCAATTCTTTGTCCTTTCTTGTTCATTGTTAGGTTTGGTTTTGGACAAAATAGATCTCAACGTGTTTGTTGTTTTGAATGTTGTTGAAATGTTGAATTTATTTTACTGTCATCATGTCATGTGTTTGTCTTTTTAAAGACGAATTACATGCTATGATTTTTTCTGACGGATATTCTCAAGTTAAAGTTGATTTCATGTAATCGAATGAACTATCTTATAAGTAAAGTCGTCCCAGGAGCGCAACTCAACAATATTGGCAATATCATTTTAAAATCGTCTACTTTAAAATGCATAATGTATGTCTGAATTGTCAATATAAATGAGTCAGATAAAATTAAATTATCAGAAGAATTTTTTCACTATGTAACAAAAAACAAAATTTGTTTAATTTACTATTTGTATTTTGAGAACGATTTCCGAATTGGAAATTGAAACGTCAATAAATGTATTTTTATCTTTAATGTGGCTTATTCCCAGTTATAAATAGTAATTAAATCACATTCCATGTGAGTGTGTCCACTAATGAAGAACTTATGATCTATATAAGTTAGATTCTGATTAGTTTGCATAGCAACCAGAAACATTGCAGCAACATGAGAATTTTTATTTTGTCCTCCACAAGTATCAGAATATAATATTACTTTGCTTACTTGTGGAGGAAGGGAAATTAGTTCTTTGTAAATGCTTGTAGCTATTTGATTTCCTCCCCTACCACCTTCAGCTTCATGCCACATGTAACATGTGACATTACCTGTACTAGTTTCATGCATAGTTAAATTGTAGGTCCATAGCTGTCGTTTATAAAATGCAACAGATGTATTTAGCATTGGAGTAGGAAGACATTGCTGTAAATCAAACGTATAGCATCGCATTGTTTCATCGTCTTTGGCCATATTTTTGTCGTTTCTTTTTTCAAGGTAAGCATTGTCAGCCTCCTGATGGTAGTCAGCTAATTCACGTTCTATATTGCTTTTTTCTTCCGGTGTAGATATCTTTAATTTCATATCTAACAAATTGCATTTGTGACAAGTGTCGACCTTAGGATCTTTAAAGCTTAGGTTCATTTTGTGAAATTCGCGTTGGTAAATATGCCTTGACACTGGTTTCTCTTCAGATTTATTTTGTTCACTTCTCTTCGTGTATAGTGGGATTTGTAAAGAGGAAAAGACAAAATATGACTTCTAACTTTTTCTATTTTGTCTGTGCTAAGTTTGTTAGCAGACGCCTCACGACCTCTGTTATCGTCATATGTTATCCCAGATAGGGTTGAACATTTATTTACTAGTGCTAAAGTAACAAACATTTGAGTCTCGCCTAGAGCCTTCATGAAACAACCTCTGCATACATAAATTCGTTCATAGTTTACAACAAAATGAAAACGATGAGTTTTTAAACGATTTTTTTCTTTTTCTGGGTCTGTGGTTCTTTTCCTAGATGACGCAGGTTCAATAGTGTCTACTAACCCAGCAATAAATCTTACTCTTTTATTTCTATCCGCAAGAGACCAGTATTGTTTAAATATATGTTCCCTTACTGTTAGTTCATTGTCAAGTCTTATTTCTAGCTTATCTTTACATTTCATTCTACAGTCATTCAATGGAATTGACATTCTTTCTTTAACCACTTTGCCTTTAGCAGTCACATAACTTTCTCCCATGTTTCTTTTCAGTTTTCGTTCTGCTCTTTTCTTTCTTGTAAATGCTCCTTTTTGTGCAGTAATTTTAGTTTTTTTTTAAATTTCGTTTTTCATATTCTACTGTTGTTTTAGCTGCATCATACAATTTATGTTTCCGCCTTCTCTGTTTCTTTTGGCTCGTACTTACTTTAAATACTTCTGGGTTATCTTCACTTTTATCACTTGATTCTGCAACATAATCATTATCAAGGTCACTATTATCAGATGGTCTCAGTAAATCTATTTTACTGGTACTATTAATAGGGTCTTTTGAAGTACCTAAAAATGAATATAATTAATTCATTTTATATGAAGCAGAACAAAAATGTTTTACCTGGAACAGCATTTAAATTCGTGTTTTCATTCCTCAATCCCGCTGTAGTAGAAAGCAATTGTAAATCCATACCCCAAAGAGTAATATCAGTGGTTTTAACAACAGTGGTCTCCTGCTCTATATGTAATCCAGAAGAAAAACAAAAACTTTCACCGATTTGGTTTTTGTCTTCGTCTAAAAGTATTCATCAAATTTATTGATTTTGACATATTTAAATACTATAAAAAATGTCAATTATACGTATAAAATTCTAACAGTCTGTATCCCGATATTATTATCTAACAAGAAACAAGTTTATAATTTCTAACCCTAATATAATATTAATAACAAAAACAAACTATAAAGTTATAAATATTTCGACCTACCGTTGTTTTTCAAAAGTTCCAATATTCTTTTGGTTCTTGAATTAGCCATTGCTTATCAGTATACTTTTTTAAATGGTTTTTAATTATTTTTTACTTTTTTTGTTTTCGAATTGCATGTAAACAATCATAAACGCAACGCTTAAATAATTTTTAGGTTAGGTACTAAGAGTATAAGTGAGTTTGTTCAGACATAAAAAGTTATCTTCATAGTATAAGTTGACTTGTACTAATTGTATCAGGCTTAGATAGTTATATTGTTTCGACCGCATGGGTAAAATAGAATTTAAATAAAGCAAATAAGACTTATGTTCTTTTTACCAAACTGTGGCAAATACAATGTTAACTCGTTTTTTGTATTTAACTCATTTTGACAAATTTGTGACCTATACTCTTTTTCCCTGGCACCCTAGATAATGTATACAAGAAGTTGTCCCGGATAGTGTATTCCTTCACATTTCCTTTTCCATGGTTTTAATATTTGTTCGAGGAATATCTTAAACAGTGTCGGAGATGTAGAGCATCCCTGCAATAACCCTTTTGTGGTCGTAAATTCGTTGGAGTATTTATTGCCGGTTTTAACTCTTACCTTGTTGTTGTTGTAAAGGTTTTTTA